TTTTAATGGGATCTGCTACTTCCTCATATGGTTATATATATATATATTATTATCTCAGAATTTAAACGCCAGTTTGCTTTCAGAATTTCACCTTCTTGGAATTTTGAACAAATAATTATGGGAAATTTTGAAAATTTAGAAAAAAACCATGCAGTAATCTGCTGTGTAAAGAATCTCTTAAGCAGCAATACTATATAGCGTCTTCTTATATTTTAAAAGCGTTGCCCAAGTGTAAATTGGTCTGCATGACGGAACACAATTCTGGTTGCTATGTGTTAGTTTAGTTATTAGACCAAAGGTGCACAGAAATAAAAGAAGTGTGCTAGATGAAATATCGTTTGAACAGCTGTTGATCGAGCGTAGATGAATAATACATACCAAAATATAACGAAGACGTGGCAAGATATCTATGCCTCGCGGCTATTTGGTATTGCAGTGAAATTTCTAACGAAGAAAAGGCTCTCAAATTCAACTGTTTGACGAAAAGAATGCATGATTAAACTATTACAAGTAAACCTCTGTTTCTTGTTTCAGAATCATTATTAAATTCGTCCATGTACGAAGTTTTCAAAAAAGCCTGCAACCAGTCCATTGCTCTTGAATTGATTCATCTATCTTTCTTTTTAATATGTAGATTTTCAACGCAAACGGCTGCTATCCCCGCACGAGTTTTTCTCTACTAAGTTTATACATCTTGAAAACTGCATACTTTTTGTGCACTGTTTTAGAAAAATTGAAATTAGAACGTCTATTTAAGTGGCGCATGAAGCGACAAAGCTCTTGACTTTTTACTGGTTACCTGTCGTACTGCCTCGCTTGGTGTCTTTCTCGTCATTTCTCCATTTACTTTCATTACTTGACGTCTTAGGCACAAAGCATAACAGCGCTAGACCGATGAAACTACACCATTTACAGTAATGCGTTACAAACATCTCGCCAAACGTAAAGGGTCTTCAGTGCCTGATGAGCGAAAAGTGAGCCCACTAAATCATTCATCTACAAGACTGCTTTGTTCTTCGCGCTCGCTACTTGTAATTTATTCACTCACTAAGACACTTTGAAATGATATTTGTTCAATAATAAACACAGTAATGGCACATAAACCGTGATATTTGCATATCGAAAGTTGGTATTAACTTACATAAGGAAAATTTTTACTTTGAACTTGCCCTTTGTAAACTTTGTGTGCACTAAGAGTTAAATGTTAAACGGCGCTCGTCGGAAAATTAAATAGACGTAGATCTGGTACTTCCTTTAAACCTTGCAGCAATCAGCAAGTTTTAAGAATTTTATCTAGTTCTTACTTTACTTAGCATTAGACTTACCGTTTTTGTCATCATCGTTATTAACATTTTGTCTTACTTAACTTATTCAGTAACGACGTCTAAGAATTTACTGAAAGCAGTTTCGTCAGAATTAATTTAGTTAACTAACGACACTGTAATGACATTTTAAAACTGAGATAACATAGAGAATAGTTCAGGTAGCAGGGAATCTCGGTGACTGCTCATTCCTATTTGGTTACAAAACAGCTGTGTTTGCATGATTTTACATCATTGCTTCTTATTATTGATTGCCAGTACAATGTTAAATAAACATGGCATATTTAATTTAGCTGGCTTGTCTATGTTGAGTGTCTTTGAGTAAGACTGAAACCGTGAAGATGTAGCGCGATCTCAGAGGCCAGCCATTCATGAGAACAAATGCCGCCTCGCTTAAACGGGTTAAAACTTCTTCGATATTAAAGTAAAATTGTCTGGGGACAATTCATTATGGCATGTCATTGTTCCAGAAACTTGATTTTGCCATGGCAAACATGTTAATTTTTTTTCAACTTTTAGCAACAACTTTTTGGTGTTTTTCTATTGGTTTTGATTAGTTCTGAGTAATTTTTGAGTAAATAAAGTAAAGAGGTTTCTGGCTTTTTGAAAAATCAATATGGCGGATCAATGACAGCTGCTGTTGGATGACATGACATAGTTACCAAGTCTATGAATCATCCCATGCTGTTGCGTCAAAGGATGCATTTTTAGACGTTGTATAAAACGTATAAGTTTCATTATCATTGCTTTGATATTCTTAAAGTTATAAATGATGGGGAAGGTCACTGAAGATAGAAAAAGCCCGATATTGTCCGTCGAGGGTACATATGCGTTATGTTTGTCCATAATAGCAGCCATGTTTCCGTAGTGTAGTGGTTATCACGTCCGCCTCACACGCGGAAGGTCGCCGGTTCGAGCCCGGCCGGAAACATTTTGGGCCGTATGTTGAGCATTCAACGTCCAAATATTTCTTTTTGTCTCTTAAAAAAGAAAAACAAGTCTTCCCAATCTTTTACTAAGATCGATAGGTTGTGAATACCAAAGACCACTGTTGAATACATTTTAAAAGCACGATAAACTATTCTCTATTTCGTCAAAATATATTATTCAAAAGTTTTTTAGTAAATAATGTTTGCGTACATTAATGTTCACGTACTGGTTAACTGACATTAGGTATA